TAGTGGTGCAGCTCGTTTCACGTGCACTCAGCAATAACTTGGAGAAAGAAGATAAGAAAGCACCCAAATAGAACTTTATCAAGAATGGAGCTGAGAACTGCTACTTAAAAAGAAAAGGTTGAGACGCAGTCATGAAACAGTGAACATAGAGTCAAAAGACTCCAACCAGAGAAGAATAAGTGAGGAACCCTCGCATCACCTAAAGCAACAGATTGACTGTTTTTCAAGACACTGTCACATAGACTGCATTTAGTTCACATAGGGAGAGAGGGACTATTTGATTCACTTCCCCGAGTATCCCCTAGCAATCCTCTCTTCATCTCCTCTAGAGAAACACTTATGTTATTTGGTAAAATTAGGAGACAATTAAATAAGATTCCTGTGTTTCTGCTTTTAGAGAATTAAAAAAGTGAATCAAGAGATGAAATCAAGAAAAGAGAATGTGGAGAAATGTGCAATCAAAGAACTCTCTCTCCTACTTCTTAGGCTAAACCAGGAAACTGACATTTCTCTCTTTTACTTCCCCTCTTTCTTATCCCCTGCAGCCCCACTAGAAATATCTCGAGATTCCTGGAAGGCTGAAAAAAGTAAAGTTTGAATTTACTTCTGCTCTGAAAAGAAGGAAAATAAAGCCAAATCAAGATCAAATTGTGAATAATTCTAGAATATAGAAGACAATACGGGCATCAATAAGAAAAACTGAAAACGGAATACGACGGACTCCTAAGATGATACCATGTTCTTCCTAGGACTTCCCCTTCAACTACCTAGACATCAAGTTTCATTTGAGAATTATATGATTTCAACAAGCTATTGACGAATTTTCTTGTTCTCAGAGTACATCCAACATATATCTTACCCAAAAATTACACTTCCATTTGATGATTTAGTTTGGAGATCACCGGAAACCTGGTCATATTGAACAATGTCCTCCACAAAGTAGCCCAAACTATAGCTTCCATCTCCATAAGTTTCACTAAAAAAACATGACGTGTTACCGTAGCATCCTGATACTGAACCCTTATTGACATCCTTGCAATACTGGTGTCCACAAGAAACTAATTTACCAGAGAGAGAATCCTTTCGATTGTAGAATGCTAGCTCCAGCTGCCCAAAAAACACATTTAGATTAGAAGGGAGGAAGAGAGCATGACAGATATCTTTTCTTTTACTTTTTTTCTGGGAGCAAGCATATACAGAGAGCTGAATAAGGATATACAATCAAAAACATAAGAAACGTACACCATGATATCCTCTTCTGGGGCATTGATCACATCCGATGCAGTTAACCCACATTATGTCGCTTCCCGTATCCACTTGCACATAATAAGCATTTGATGGTGTTCCAATCCCAATCTTGGCATAGTAAAGCCTATAATACATTAAAAATCAGACTAAAATTATATGGCAGGCCTAAAATGACCCAATATGGTAAAACAGTAAGGGTTTTCCAGAGAATTTTGTTATGTAAAATATTTGGTATGCGTCAAACTGAAACTTGCACAAAAAATACATGGATCATTCTTCAATTTATTCAAGAACCAATTTCGTTAGCCTTAGCACTGAAATACTATTATTCAACCATGGACTTCTATACCTGCACAAGATTATTCGATATCACCCATCTTCTTCAAAATTAATATCACTACATGACAAGACTTTTTCCAAACATTTACATACTTATGAATTAAATCATCCAATAACTTCCAGGATATTCCGTGAAGTCAACAAGAAATTCAAAATGCAAAGCACTAATCAAGTATCTATTAACATATTTAAGAAAAACTTTTCATGCATTAAAAAAAACACACATATGCCTATCATATCATTACTAGGGAAACATATATTCTCCGGTAGTTGGCCCTTCGGTAAGATGACGAGCTACCATAAACTAAAGCATGTAGCTTTTCCACTATATGCTCAAGCAGCTACACTTCAGCATTAGAGTAAGGTACAACTTAATTCACACGCAAGCAAAACCACCATCAAGTAAGTGCCGACTTAACACAATTCACTAATTGAATTACGAATTATGTTCCCCTCTTCCAAAAACGATACAATAGGTCACTAAAGATTTGGAATGCTAAATTCAGTGATCCAAACTATTATTCTTCTTTTTCTTTTTCTTTTCTTGGATGACGGTGACGTCTGGGCCAGCTTGTGAGCACCTTGACTTTTCTACCAGGCAAATATTACCTCCCACCAAGACTTAGGCAGATAGGAAGGAATCACCTAGTTTTTATTTTGTCTCCGCGTGTCTCTTACACCACACCCTTGGGCACAACTATTATCCTTCTGTTTTACAAAAGACTAGCAAGTTTTGCCACTAAACTCAACTCAACTTTAGAAAAAACCTTAAGTTAATATTTCTTTTCCCTCTGTAATTCAAAGTAGCTTATCTGGGCAAATTAACTACTATGAATTAGGTAGAAACTCGCACACCCGATCCTATTCCCACAAACCAAAACAATCAATTTATGAGTTTTAAGTTTTGTGCACTGACGGTATAAGAATTATTTACACAATCAGGCCACTTGGAAGGTAATTGCAGGTAACTTTAATCATTAAGCATTCATTGATAGCCTATAATAAATGGCAAACAACTAACTATAACAGGTTAAATTACACTGATGGTGAAAATATTGTTCGCACTGTACGGAAAAAACAGTACTAGCAGTAAAGTCCAAAGTACAACACATCAAACTAACAGACTAGACTATATATGTGTAACAGGTATAAATAACATGCACTAAAGTACAAGTATATAAGCCTGAAGTACACACTCAATACAAAAATTACGGGTATGGGGAAAAAAAGGCAGACCCGACGGAATCAGGACGACCGGTGCCGCCGATAGGAAGGTCGACGCCGGCGAGAAGTCTGAGATGGCGCTTATCATCATGGGCTTTTAGGGCACTGAGAGTCCGTTCAGAACCACTAAATTTGTAATTCACTTTAATTACCCCTTCAATTCCTCCACTTGCCCTTCCAACTATAATCAAAAGGAACAAAAACGTGTAACCCAGTTCGAATTTCACCATTGTTGAATTCACTAAGAAAAAAAACGGAGAGTGGAATTGAATTTTTAGGAATTGGGAGGAATATTATTAAAAACCTGAGAAAGGTGTTTGAGTTTAGGGAGGAGGGGGGGGGGGGGAGGTTGTTGACTGTTGACCTCTGAGGGTGGAGGTCAGTCTTCTATTGGTTGTTTTCGAAATGAACTTTTGGTGCTAAAGCCGAAAGAGAAGCATAATTGCAATAGTTGTAATCGCATTTGTTCGCATTCTCAATGGATGAATGGTGCGATTTATAAATCGTGCTCTCCAATTGCGATTTATATATCGCACTTCGATTACAAGTTATTAGTAGCATTTCTGAATATCGATTAATAAGTCACATTCCTGGATTGCGATTATAAGTCACATTCCTGGATTGCGATTATAAGTCACATTCTCCATTTATAAATCGCTTTCTACCATACTATACCTCGGCTTCAAACAATTTGTTTTAACCATGTTAATAGTTCCACATTATTGGTAAATAGAGAATCAAAATTGATTTACCAATGAATCACATTGTTCAAATGTGGGTATGTGCCGCATTCCTCAAAAGCAATGTATAAGTCGTAGACTCGCAACATTCCTCAACATATCGATGTATAAATCACATTCTCCTATTGCAATTTATAAGTCGTTCTTGTATACGTTATAAGTCTTCAAATGAGATCTATAATTTGTATTGCTATGCGGTTTATAGTATTGCTCAAATAAATCGGTTCCTCAAATACGCTTATAAGTTTCTGAAATATCATTATTAATTATATTTTCCAATATGCTTATCTCTTACACTAGTCGTTACGTCAATTAACTTATAATGCATGTATATTTCATATCTTTGTTTTACCATGCTAGTAGAATGTTTTCAGTCAAAATTGCAAATTTTCAACTATTGTTTGGTTCAAAACACATCTTCCAGTTTCATTATTCCCTAAAAATTGAAAAACATACAAGTGAGGACAGTATGCAATTGTTGTTGTTGCCTCAATCTGCTCCAAGAACCCATGGAAATGTACAGAGTATCTCAATTAATCCTGAAAGTTATTTAATTTATACACCCAAGTACTATTTTCGGTTCGTATCATTTGTCGTTTTCTTGAGCTAAATATATTCAAAATATTCTTTTTAAAAAAAGGGAAGAAATATTTCAATATGATACATTTGCAATGATATAACTTTCACTTATTATTAGTGAGAGAAGTCATTTTATCATATTTTAATGAGAAACGATTTTAAGATATGTTGATGACACAGACAACTTAAAGAGCTCATCTGTGCCTTCTAATATAAGAGAAAATAAAATGTTAAAATTACAATTATAAACTTTTCATAAAGGACAAGACGTCATAGTTCTTTTATAAAAAAAAAAAAAGTGAGCCACCTAACGGATTGCTACTTCCTATTCAGAAATTGAAAATAAAAGGAGTAAATATCTTTAACGGAAATCAATTGTAATACATGATTATAAAAGAGACTTGTTTTCTTTACCGTACCGGATACCCAATGTTTATACCAAATTATATCAACTTACATGGTTAAATGATTTAATAGGGTGAGGATATGAATTAATTAATCATGATTAAATTATAATAGTTTATTAGCAAACATATGTCATATATTTATTTCGATGATGTAAACAACCTGTGCAAGTAATTTTTACTACACTTAACAATCTTCCTATTATTAAGAGAGAATATCTTTTGTTAGTATTGTTTGGTGTAAATATACTATATGTTAAGTTTTTATCTTTTATTTGCTAATGAGCCTGCGGTAGGTGAGGTTAATAGAAATTATTCACAATTCACAACTCGTGTATACACACAATTCAATTTGCAATCAGCATAAAGAATTAATAAATATTAGAAAAAATATAACATAATGTAAATGTGATACATGTTTATTAATAGTTCATTTCAGAATATTGTTTATAAATAGAGTCCTACCTATAATTAAGTTAATTTAAGAAAGTTTCAACATGGCTGTGGGATTGTCATTGCTAAAATATATTGTCTTCTTCACCACTATCTTCATGGCGATGACAGGTTATATTTCCAACTTTTTCGATTACTTTAACTTTTGTTTTGTTAATTAAGTAGTTTTTGTGGATAAACACAATTAGCACCCAATACCATTTTTTTTTCACCTCTCAAGTCGACAGGGTCGAAGCTACATGTATTGAAGGGGGGTGAAATTAAAAAATAATCAGATTTTAAGTGGTAATTGAAAAATAGTCACAGTCTCAAAAGTAATTAAAATTTAATCATTTTTATGTAAAAATAAATCTGAACGAAAACACTAAAATCCGAAAAATATTCCAGCATAATATACTAGAGTTCGAATTTTTTACATGTGAACTTCTAACATAATATACTGGAGTTCCAGCATAATATACTGGTCCAGCATAATATGCTGGAAGTTCATACACAGGTGCTCCAATCTCCAATATATTATGCTGGAACTTTCCTTGTTGCAGCAAAATAGTGGGTATTTTTCAATGACTTTGCAAACGCTGGTTATTTTTCAATTACCAGTCTGAAAACTGGCTAGCCGGTGCTATCTTCACTGTATTAAAGGGTGGTCAAATTGACCAGCCTTTGTCGAAAAATTACACTGCATACATAGGTGAAATATTAGGTTTTAAAGGTATATAACATATGCTGAACACCCTTTATCGAAGAATTTTTTTTACGTCTTTCAAGTTTAAACACCCTTGAGGAAATTCTGGCTTCGCCACTACAAGTGAATGATACATATTGTCCACTTTGACTTAACAAAGACGACTTCATGAATTTGGCCCTTGGGCTATGGTAGATTGAGCTCAAAAGGTCATGTACCAAGTGAACTTATGCTCTTTCTTAAACAAGACTTTACTTTTCACTCTGTTTTCAATATTGAATTTGCCTAATGTTAATTATATGCACACCTTTAAAAGCTTATCATCTTTTTTTTTTTTTTTTTTTAAATCTATAGTGTTTTTACACTTCCCCTCCGGCATGACTCAAACTCAGAACCTAACGGTTGTGGATAGAGGTGCTTTTACCAACTGAGCAAGCCTCACTTGTGACAATATTTGTTTACGTATCTTTCAGGCCTGCCAGTGATGGCGTTACGAGATTTGCCTCAAGATGAACTGATGATGAAAATTAAATTACTTCCACTTACAGATTTCATAACTTGTGACAGAAATTGTGTTACTAGCAGTGATTGTTCTGATGGTTGGATCTGTAAATCATGCAAATATGTTCCAGTTGTTATACCACCTCAAATACCTTATCCTTATGAGTGGCGATGCAATGCCTAAAAATATTATCTTAATTATGAATTATTATGGAATTCAAGAGTGAATAATGTTAGTTGATGCTACATCTATAAAATACTTTTGAGTGCATTTGAATTAAGTTTTTCGTATGTAATGTTTGTTTTTCTTTTGAACTATGTGTAATATGAATAAATGGAGGAGAAAAATCATGAGATTATTTTCATTCCAACTTTAAATACTAGCACTACGTCTTGTTTTTTTGGTTTCCCATCCAGTATTCGGTATCCGTATTCGGGTCCGACTAAATTAGGAATTCGCGCCGGGAAGTCCCGCATTGGGGAGTAAAGCGCTCCCTAACAAAGGCGACTCCATCCAGGGCTCGAACCCGATACTTATGGTCAAGGATGAAGGAGTACTTACCACTCCACCATAATACTTGTTGGTACTATGTCTTGTTGTTGCCGTAGCTAGTTCTATGTATGCACATATAATCGATAAATTTAATTTTTTTACTTACTTAATAGATTTCTTAAAACAAATATAAAATATAGTTTAAACTACCGGGATCGGATAAAGGAATTCACGAAAAGAAAAGATCACATATTGATGAGGATCTTATTAGGTCTTTAATAATATTTCCTATTATACCAAGAGTTGGTTTTCATGTTGGATTGAGCTTAAATTACCGGAATTAAGCCCAAAAAACGCAACGAAAATGTTTGTTCAAAAAATGTTACACATCTTACGAGTACAAAACAATATAAATAAATCCCGGGATAATCATAGCAAATCGTAATAATCCGTTGGACCAGATGAAAGAAACTAAAATAAGAACTCAGAATTAGGGGGAGAAGCATTAGAAACCTTTATTGATAATATTTGTTTGGTCTGCCTCTCCATGAAGAGGTTTAGAGCTTTACAATGGTGTTTTCTCTTCCCATAAGAGGGGTATCTTTTTTTTTTTTTTTTCTCTCTTCTCACTAGTGGTGAAGAAGCAGCCCCCCCCCCCCCATTCTAGGGCTTCTGCTCTTAGTATTTATAGATGTGAGCTTTGTGAGCTGGCAATAAATGGCCGTGGCCACGCTGAAGTTCCGTCCCCATGGGGGAATGACTGGGTCGTACCCTCGTAGATTAAATTGGACAAGAGTCGAGTCCTGTTATGAATAAGTGGCCATACCACTTATTAATTATGTCTTAGCTCAAGACGAGATTAACTCCGTTAATTATCGTGGGGTCGGGTTTTGACCCATACAGTTAGTCCCTCCGCTTATTGAGGTGGGGCCTTGGCCGAGCTCGATGAGCGGACTTCATCGATTGTGATTTGAAAACAACTCGAATAAGGGGGTCGACTTATTGGCGGCGGTGGCCTTAGCCGTTTACACGTTGGAGCTGGCCGTAGCCTTTCGTACATTAAAGATGGTCGTAGCCTTTCATATGTTAAGGTTGGCCGTAGCCTTTCATACATCGAAGATGGCTGTAGCCTTTCGTATATTGGAGATGGCCGTGGGGAATGAGTATGCGCCGGGTACGTATTTGGTCAAGTCCAAAATTTTAACGGCGTACGGCTCATTCTTTCAGTGTTCGCAGGTAGTGGCAATTGTTCCGACGGCGGTATGCTGGCGGATGGCTGAGAAGCCGCTTTGCGGAGCTCGTCATAATGACGATTGCTACGACAGAATCGAACCGTTTTACGGTTGGTCGTGCAGTTAATGATGGCTACTGGGTTTCGCAAAAGCCATTTATGTTGCCTATAAAGGTGGGTTGAGGCATTCATTTCTCATATCTTCATTGTTCATCTGAGAGAGAAATTCTGAGGAAACTTTTTCGTTTCGCTAATTCATCTTCTCTTTTCTTACCTTTGATTGTGACAACATTTGTCTTCAGCAGATCAACAATGGCAGTCAGTTCTTCCCCCGGTGCTCCTCCGGTAGATTTTCCGGTAGTTGAAGGGCCATCTCCGGCAATGGGAGGTGCGGAACAGATGGAGTCCGGCGAAATTCCGTCGGTTGACGAGGTGGTTCCTCGGCCCGGAGGTCTGGCGATTGATTTCACCGTTGATGGTGGAGAGGAACCGGTGGATGAAGCCCCGTTGATGGGGGAGATCGGGATGGCCCGATTGCGGGAACAGGGGGTCGTTCCTACCCATGCAGACATCGTTCTTGCTAGAAGCGAGGAGAGGGTCCACACCGACCGCAGGGGATACTGCATTTTTTACGCCTACCCTTTCAGGTTGGGGTTCAAGATCCCGCTCCCAATGCTGGTGGTGGATTTCTGCCGTTATTACGGGGTGTGCCCGGGTCAGCTCACTCCTTCCCTCTACAAATTGTTGGCGATGTTCATCAAGTACGCGGAATTGGCCCGTAGGGAGGTCACGCTGCAGCATGTGCTGAGTCTCTACGCTCCCCAGAGAGTCCGCGGCACCATGATTCGGGCGTGCCCTCGTGGGTCGAGGGGCCTGGTCATGAGATTGGATGACGAGGTCGACCCTCGCCCTTTCGAGCACTTCTTTTACATCAGGACCAAGCACCTGGTGGCGGATGCTACTGGGTTCCCAGAGGCTTGGAACCATGCACGTAAGTTCTTTAGTGGTTGAATTCCTTTTTCTTTCTCTCTTTATGGTTTGTGATCATGGGCGTTAACTCGTGTCTTTTTTGTAGCCGACAGGTCGCCGCCGCCCCCATTGTCTTGGATACGTGAGTGGGTCGAGGTCGTACTCCCCCATACGAGGGGGATACGTACGTGGGCGTCTTTCTGGGAGAGGCATGGCCGTAGGGCCGCGGCAGGTAAAAAATTGATCTCTTCTTCTGTTCCGCTTTGTTTCAGCTCTATTCATTAACCTTGTTTTCTTGTGATTAGGCAGTTGCTCGGCTTACTGCAGCGCCGGTGTCGCGCTCAACACCGAGGGCGGCATCAGTCGAGTCTTCAGCGATTTCTTCTCCATCACGGACCCTACTTCGGGACGAGGAGCCATCGGGGGTTGTGCGCCCTAGAGCAGAGTCGTCATCAGATGGGGAGGAGGAGAGGCCGTTGATAAGGCGTAGGGTCGCGTTCGCGCCGGCTCCTCCTGTGGTAATTAATTTGGACTCCCCGTCGGCGGACGCGGAGAGGAGTGCTGCTGCGGCGCCTGCCCCTGAGGGCGGACAAACAATGGGGGTTGCCCCGGTTGGCTTAGGCCGTGATGATACAGTCGCTTCGGCGGCTCAATTGGTGGTTCCAGTCGCTGAGACGGGAGGTAGTTCCTCAGCGGCTGCTAATGTGGGTGAGGATGAGTCTGAGTCCGACTTGGATCCCGACGACGTTCGTATGTTCCAGGAAGGCTCCACCAACTCAGCGGTGCGCGCAGAGGGGCGATCTCGCTTTATCGAGGTTCCCACGGAATTGAACTTATTGCTCCAAGGTGAAAACTTGGTGCCGCAGTTCGAGCCGCTATGCTCGGAGGCCGAGCATGCGTCACTGAGGGGCGTTACGGATGTCGGGCTGATGAATGAAGTAGCCGTGATGGGCTTGAGGGTATGTACTGTTACGTCGGTTCGCTTCTTCTTTGCCTTAGGTTTATTCTTTTATTCTGATCGTTGTCTTTGCTTTGCAGTCTTATCTGTTGGAGGTGGAGAGCATCCGTCGAGCCCAGGTCCGCTCGGGGATATGTATGCGGGCGCTGGAGAAGTATCGCCGCTACTGAGATCAGTGCCGAGAGTTGCGAGAGCGCTTGAGGAATGATCCTCGTAGCTGGGCCTTGGTCGAAGAGCTTGCGAGATGGGAGGTTCAGATGCAGCAAGCACTTGACAGGACGAGTGCTTTCGAGGAGCAGCTCCGCCGAAAGGATGAGGAGCTCGAGGCGGTAAAGAGGGCTGCAGCTGAGTGCGAGCTCCGGGGCCAGGCGAAGGCGGCGGAGGTCACTGCGGCATGGAGCGGGAAAGTGACCGCGTTGGAGGATGAAGTCGCGGCATTGAAGCTTCAAGTGAGGGATGCCTCGTCGAGGGCCGGGGCGTTGAAGGAAGCTATCCGCGTGCACGAATCCCAACGGATGTTGGAAAGGGATGTTGCAACCTTTAGAGAAGCAAGTCTCGAGGAGCGGATTGGTGTTTTTGAGCAGGACGCCCAGGTTATGGCGGACCGAATCACAGCCTTGGAAGAAGAGAATCAGCGGCTACGGGATCAAGCCGCTTCTTCCAGCCAGGCTCGAGAACTTTGGGTCTTTGCCGAGGCCCAACGTGATGTATATAGGAGTTTGTGGGAGGCTGGCGTCGTGACCGAAGCTGCTTTCGAGGGGGCGCGTCAGAAGGCTCGTGAGGCCCGTGCCGACTGCGGTTTTGACGCGGCAACGCCTGAGGCTGACGCTGGTGCAGACGTGGCGCAGACGGCACCGAGTAAAAAGGATACTCATTTTTTCTTGTCTTGTTCGCCGCTTGGCGTTTAGTTGTTTCTTGTTTTGTTTTTTTTTATTTCTTGTATTGATCGGCCTTGGCTTGGTGTAAGCGGGGATGACCCGCAATTTGACTTTGTAAATATATAAATTTTCTTTTCTATTGCCTGCCTTGTGCTGTTTTGTGTTATTGTTTTTCTTTCGTTCTTTAGCGTTTTTGTTGCTCTTTATGTTGAACGTCGGCGTTGACGGCCCTAGTCGAATTTAGATCGACGACTTTAGTCGTGATAGAATCGACGGCCTTAGCGATGAAGGCAACTTCGACTGTCGTCGGGTCGTTTACCCACCGCAGTCAAACCTAGGTCGACCGTTGGCGGCGATGGCCTTAGCCATAATATAGTTGATGGCCTTGCTTTTTCAACTCGGTGCGGGCGAGTCTTAGCCGTTATTTGGCGATAGCGGCGCTTAGCCTTAGTCCCAGTTCGGACGCGGTCGAACTACCGGTCGTGATAGTAAAAAACGCGGCCTCGTAGTTTGACCGGGGCCGAACTTTGTGGCACGAATCTTAATACGAGTTGGGAGAACTTACTTGAATGGCGAGGGTGTTTATCCTGCGCTTTGATTTGTTGGAGGTCGGGCTTTGCTTTCACAGGTGAAGGCGTTTGGCCCGAGTCTCGGTTCAACTGTGGTTGAACTTGCTAAAGTTGAGGACGAAGGCGTCCACCCTTGTAGTTCGAGCGAGGTCGAGCTCTTGGATTTAATGACGCAGGCACATAGCCTGAGTCCCAGTTCGACTGTTGTTGCACTTTGTTAAATTTAGTGGCGAAGGCGCGTAGCCTGTCTTGGTTCAACCGTAATTGAACTCTTTGTGAA